AATTGTAGGTTTCAAAATAAAAATTTGTTTCAAGTTTTTAAAAAAGCAGCCTTTATTTTGTGTTCATCGACTAAATCGACTAAAAGTCGACTAGTCGAAATTAGTCGACTAAGAAAAAACGAATAGTCGATTTAATCGACTATAGACTTCCTACTAATCGACTAAAAGTCAATTTAGTCGAGTGAAAATTTAAAAATCCTTTTACCTTTTCATTCGATTTAACTTTTCAATCTTTTATTTTTGTTTTTGTTAAAAAACAAAAGCGTGTAATTTTTCTAACTATAAATGTGCAGGGTGCAGTGATAACATTAAAAAAATTTTTTTTTTTTGAAATTTATTTTGCCTGGGTGTGCAAAAGTTGTCTATTCATATCGAAAATACTCTGTAAAAATTTCAATGCTCTAGAAATTTATCTTGAGGTGCCCCAAGGACTTTGAAATCCCCCAAAATCCCCAAAAAGTGACCTACGGAAAAAAATTTAGAAATGTTTTTTTTTTATTGAAATTCATTTTGTCTGGGTGTGCAAAAGTTGTCTATTTATATCAGAAATACTCGGTAAAAGTTGCAATGCTCTGGTAAATTATCTTGAGGTGCCACAAGGACTTTGAAATCCCCCAAAATCCCCAAAAAGTTAGAAATTGCAATTATTATTAAATTCATATTTTCACAAAAAAATCAATGACTAAAAATAAACTGATCTTGTTTTTCGATTTCTATTATAATAAACCTGTATGATGGTTTTAACATCATATCAGAACCTAATGAAAATATATTTATGTAAATTGTAGAACTTTGAGGTGCCACAAAGATTAAGAATAACAATTATTTCAAACAAAATTAAGTAAGTCTGGATCAAGTTTATTTTCTGTCAGTTAATCATTTCAAGAACGTCATTTTGAAAGGCTGAAATTAGATTTTGTGTTAAAGACTTTCATAGCTGATCGCGACTCTATTCTTGCACGAATAAAACTATCACGCTGAGGTTCACAGACTTCCATACTGGCTTCAGTGACAAGCTTTACGCCTCTCACGCAAAGTATGCATTTCTGGGTGAGCAAAGTATGCATTTCTTTGGATTACAGAATCAACAATTTTCTTGAGCTCGATAGGCAAGTATCTGATATAATGCACCATTCAAAAGAGATGGCGACTGCTATCCGTACAAGAATGCTTAGGCTTCACTTCAAACCAAATAGGTGCATATACCTTTTGTACGTAAGTTACAAGTTTTTGTCTGGCTTTTCTGTAGATAAATATAACCGAAGGATACGACTAGCAGTTGTTATCCATCGAGAATGACACATGGGTCCCGGTTTTCGATTACCCAATTCAAAACTACATTGGCCAATGGATATTGTTTGAAATATTTCATGCAAGTACCTTTGATCTGTACTTATCAGATCATCTGCATCAATGCTGGACAACACATTTCCTTTGATTGTTTGAAAACTGACAATTGGCAAGTCCATGTTCTTCAACAATTTTCCGATTGGACCACTAAATTAATTTGGCCCATGTATAGATCCATCCAGGTTAATCAGGAGATGTCTCAATGGTAACTCATTTATATGTAATAAACATACAAACCAGTGTAGAGATTTGTTGAAACGAAGCTCGAGAAGTCGAATAATACCACCAATATTACCTGTGTTGACATTCGTGCCTTCACATCCGATTGCCACCAATGAACTGGTATCAATATCATTTGCATTCAAAAATGATATAATGCTAATCTTTATACTTTGTGAAGATCCCTGTGATGTTTTAACATGTCCCAGGTATTCAGAACTAGGCTTTTTTATGAACACAACGTGCTCCTTGGTCTCCAAAGCTGGATGATATCTGTTTCCTTAAATGATCTGGCTTCGAGTTTTGTCTTTTCGACCATCAATTTATAACCCTTCTAATGTTTTGGTAGCACCAGCTTGTAAAATTTTTCTCTTTTTCTGTCTTTCTCTACGAATTTTACTTGGGTCAATAACATCAGATGAGTCATGTGCATTAATAATGCCATAATCAACCAAAACAGTCGATTCTAATGCTGCAGCTGAGCGATCCGATACTCCCCATCGATCACATTCACAAGCTAATGTTGGTAGTGGAGTTCGCATTTGAGATTTCAAAATTTCTTGTGAGCTTGCATTATTAGTTGATGATGGTGACTTAGGCGAGTCTGTCATGAAGTCAACATCTTCATTACTATCTTTCGGTGATAGATACATCTAAATCCTAACCTTACGTGACATCATTACAATCATCCTCCAAGCTACAATCTGAAAGCGATTTCAAAGTTTCAGCATTTGTAATTGATTCAAATTTACAAAATCTCAATTCATCTACAAGTTTTCTTTTCAGTTTCTTTTCCTGCTGCTTTGTTTTTTTAATATCAACGTTGCCAATAGCCATTTTCCTTTCTGTTCTTTGATCTGCAAGGAATATTATTTCATTTGGTGGAACTTTACAATTCTTTTCACAAGCACATGTTGAAAAGTCTTTACATTTACATGAAGCAATATCAAAAATTTGATTTGAGTCAATTTTGAAGTTTTCAACTTTGTTCAGTTACTGTGACTCTTTGTCCTTGGACCTCTGTTTAAACGGTTTCATAATTGAGCGATATTTGTCATGGTAATCTCTTATTTTAGCTATTATTTGCTGACAGGTTATTACTGGAATTGATCCTTTGTTCCATATTGTCTCAAGATCAACAGATATCTTCCTGGTTGTTTCATTAATCGTGGCTTCTTTGGTATGGCCATCAGACAATTCTTTTCTTACTGATATAAAATGTTTCATGATATCTGCATACGTTAGCAAAACATTTATGCTCATCCGTGAAATGATGCCAAATAATAGGCAAATGTTATCATTGCGAGTGAGAAGTTTTTTCATTCGTACAGTTTCAATCTTTTGTGCCATGATCTAACCATACAAAGACAACACAGCAAAAATAAATGATAATTTTAGTAATTATCTGCTAGATTCTGTGTTGTTTGTTAGACGCCGTTTGTATTTTACATAATAATACATGCACATTCACTCGCCAGATGGCAGCATTGTAGCAGCTAATTATATAGCACTAAATAATAATATTATTATATCACTCAGACACACTCAAATTTAAAAAAAAAATTTGAGTGTGTCTGAGTGATATAATAATATTGGTAGTCCGTGTCTATCTCCGTACTCCGTAGTCGGTAGGTCACATTTTGGGGATTTTGGGAAATTTCAAAGACCTTAGGGCACATCAAGATAATTTCATAGAGCATTGCAATTTTTACAGAGTATTTCTGACATGAATAGACAACTTTTGCACACCCAGGCAAAATGAATTAAAAAAAAAAAATTCACTGCACCCTACTATAGATGTCAAGGATTGTAGTTTTGCCGAATACCAAATATTCGGCTAGACGCTCGGCCAAAGCACCAAATATTCGGCTGCTGAATATTCGGTGACACTTTCCTGTTTTGAGGGTTCCAAACTGGTTAATTGAAATGTATATCGTGGGTATACTGGCAAAAGAGGTTAAGTCAAAATTGGCAGTCTTGACTTAATGACTCAGTATTGTAAAGTTTACACTCTACAAACTGGCAAAATACAAGTCGAATGGTTGTGAAAATTTATTTTTACAACCAGAGAAAAGCTTTTCTCTGGTTATTAAAAAATTTAAAATCTATAAATCTTTTCTTAAATAATAACTTAACATTATGGTGTATTTAATGGCAATATCAAATGCAGTTTAATAAAATTAGAAATGTTTCAAGTTGGAAGAAAACTTGAACGATTGATTTCTCTTAACAAAAAATTTTGAGTTAACGATTTTTGCCAGAATACCCACAATATTTCGTGAGTATTCTTGCAAAAAACTCTACGCTGTGGGCGTTTTTGTTAACTTATAACTTGGCTGTGTAAAAGCACACAATAGTTGATTGTTACATTAATTATACTTAACTATAGTTATGTATAAACGTGTAATACTCTTTAAAGCACTAAAAAAGATTACAAAATTAACCAGCTCAGGTTTTTGCATTTCAGGGGTAATTTCAGAAGTTAATATAGATAGGTCATCTCTACAACCTGAACTTAAAACATCGTTTAACTTTAATAGGAATGTCAATTACACGGTTGCGATAAAACGATGCTGTAAATCCTTCTCAGTGAAAGGCCATAAATCCTTTTGAGTAAAAGCCCATAAATACTTCTCAGTGAAAGGCCATAAATCCTTTTGAGTAAAAGCCCATAAATCCTTCTTAGTGAAAGGCCATAAATCCTTCTCAATAAAAAGCCGTAAATCCTTCTTAGTGAAAGGCCATAAATCCTTCTCAGTGAAAGGCCATAAATCCTTCTCAGTGAAACGCTGCTTGACACCTATGATGACTCAGCTCTACTTCGTAAAAAGAAAAAAAATGTAAATGAAAAACGATCAAACTAATTTCTACGAAAAAATGCACACATATTAAGATGTGAGAAAGAATAATTCCAATTGCAAATGATATTCGTTTTTACATGAAACCGTTTGCTTAACCAGGGTTGGTCAGCAAAAGTAAAACATTATTCTAACAGAACTAGCAAAAAAAAAGTTATTATTTGAGGTGGCTGCGTACATAATGAATGGCTGTTTTAGGAGTATGACATCATTAATTAAAACTATTACTCGCTTTTTGTTTACTCATTAAGTCATATCTAACTCATAGCATATTAGCACTATTTAGGCTCTTTCCGGTGTTCTGTAATAAGATCGTAAGGACTTCTGGGAGTACTTTAATAACTGCATAAAAAAAAGGAAAAATATTATACCTAACTAAACAATTGGTTATGTATTTCATTAATTTTTTTTCTTTTGTTAACTCAATTTTTTGGTTTTCATAAATACTTTCATACAGAGCTGGCTCGGGGGGCCCTGAAACAAGCTTTTATTCCATTTTTTTTTTATTCTTCAGCTTCATGATTATGATCTCTAAAATTATGTTTATAAGTTATAATAAAAATTACTTTTTAGAGATTAAATAAATGTGCGCTTCATCATGAGTTAGAACTACTGAGAGAAGATGTTATTGGAGCAGCTAAACATCTGTATAAGTTAAGATATCAACACACCATAAACGGTAAGCAATATAGCTATTAGTGATGTATCAATTGCATTAGATAATGATACAAATAGATAAAAAATCAATTTACTGATTTATATCGTAAGTAATTTAATATATATATTAATATATAAATTAACTGTTTTAAATTTTAGTAGTAATCCTTACAAAAAAAATACAAGTCATGATCTGTAAAATAGCTTAACTTTAGGAAAAGTGTTTTTTTTTAAAGTTGTTTCAATCCTTCCAGAATGTCATGTTTATATAAGAAAATAGCATTATGGAAATCTGGCTATCTACCACGGACAAGAAAAACAAAGAAAGCGAGTTCAAACATATTTTGATGAAATTAAGCAGTTTTATTTTAAAAATATACACAAGTGTTTGTTTTTACAATAAATTATTTAATAGTTTATTAATATAACTTTTATGACTTTAGCTACACTATATTGTTGCAACTATTACAGCTGGCACCACATAACGCAACTATAAAATATAAAGACAATTAGAGCACATTTAATACTTTGTCATTCTTTTGGTTCTGATTTAAACTCTTCAAAATGTTCATAAAATTGTATTTCATGTTCAAATTAATATTTATTTTTAGGTGCAGGTATTGGAAACTTGAAAGATGTACCTGATGGCATATTGCTTGATAGTTCTATGATTCCTAAATATAAAAAATCAAGTGACGCACAAGGATATTTATCGTAAATATATCAGTTTTTTAGTTATTTTAATTTGATAGAATATTTCTTATTATTTGTTTTAAGATGAAACTGTAATACATTAGGACAGCTGCAGCTAAAACACTGAAATTTTATACAAGTGAAAATTAAAGTTGTTGTAAAAATGTTAATAGTTTTAATTAAAAAAATGTTTACAATAATTAATTTTTAAAACATATTTGATGTATAATATCTTTTTATTCTTATGTATATTTATTAAATTTATTTGTAACTTTATTGACTTGTTAAATATTTGTTTATATTTTGTTGCTTATATATGCTCATAATGGTTATATATAATCATAATGGGCTGTGTATGTTTATAGACACAAAGGAAATATAAAGATAGTAAACTAAAATCTTTTCTTAATGTGAATAAACAATATTTAGAATCCAGCAGGAACAAGACGATCTTAAGGAGAAAAGTGACAGACTATTTTTTATATAATTTTGAAGAAAAGTTTTATTAGCTATTTGATAGTGTTAAAGTATGGTGTTTGCAACAACAATGGTGATTTTAAGTTCAAAAATAATTGTATGATTATCCAATAAAAAAAGAACTTATTATGGTTCTAAATATAGGGTATAAGGACTAAAAGGACAATATAAAAATACAATGTGGTAAAGTGTTTCGGGCCATTCAAAGCCAAGTGATCCAGAGGTCCCCACTCGATCATCTTAGATTTTGATAAAACTTTGTATGTATACAATTAAACATTTTTCATGAACATTGCCAAAGTTACAGGTCAAAATGTTTGTTATTTTGGATTTTGCGGTACTTTTTGTAAGGCTTACCTAAATATCAATATCAGTCAGTAGCTAAAAACCTTATTTTCATAGTCTTATTTTTGCAGTGAAAATGTAATATATCTTAAAAACGTGGATTCTTAGTAAACCAAAGGTGCAGATTGCAAATTTTTTATTACAACTTTCATTTTATGCCTAGATATTAGTCTATGGTTCAACAAACAGTGTCACAAATTCAACACCATAAAATTTTATTGTTTTTTTTTGTAGGGTCATATCTCCAGAACAAAAGGTTTTTCAGTATTGCTATTTTTTCTGAAGGTTCAACGTACAAATATAATGATATAGATAAAAAAAGCGACTTTTTAGAAAATGTTTATGCTGAGTTATTCTGAAACCAATATGGCGATAAAAGTGAAATACCCTAAAATAAAATGTATTTAAACCCCTTAAACCCATGTGGGCAAATTTTGTTTGTTTTATAAATTGCATCATTGGAAAAAGCTTATTTCACATTTCTAGAAATAATGAAAATCATAATGGAGAGATTTTTTCTATGAACAAAAAAACATTAGGTCAATATATAGATTTTTTAAATTTACGATTCCGTACTAAACATAAGGATTCATCATACTGCATTAAAAACAAAGCTTACTCTACCAAAAATCAAAATATTATGGTATTTAAAATATATATTTTTGATATTTGCTTGAGTTATTTCAGAAAAAATAAACAAATCTGCAAAATGTGAAGCGCAATATTTAAAATGGCGCATACTTATGCGCCACTTGCAAAAAATTACTTTTTTGCAGTTTAAACTGCAAGTTTTTTGATAAATTTTCAATTTTAAGATTTTTTTGTAATTAGATTCTATTTCTAAAAAGCTTTCAATTAATTACGTGAACAATTATCAGGCGACTTTTATCTCCCCCTCCTCCTTGTCAACAATTTGTCAGTCTTCTCCTTTCCCCCATCCCCCTCCACCTCTCCATCTCCCAATAATAATAATTCTTTACAACTTTAACAAAAAACGATTAAAAGTAAAATGTTTTAAAAAAAAAATTTTATTCAACATTTTAACTTATGAACATTTATATAAATAATATATATAGTGCGGCCGTGGCGCAGTGGTTAGAGCGCTTGCTTTATAAGCATGAGATCGAGGTTCGAAACAAGCTGTAGATATTTTTCGCGTCACGGTAAGGAAGGAGGCGTGAACTTCCTGGTTAAATGCACTTCCGCGGTGCTCTGCGACAAGACGTTAGGTCTTCTTGGGGCACTTAAATAATAATTATATATATATATATATATATATATATATATATATATATATATATATATATATATATATATATATATATATATATATATATATATATATATATACACATATATTTTTTTATTTATTTTTCTAATTTTTCCTTTTTGCGATACTTCGGTCTAATTTGTATTAGACCGAATAATCGCAAATTGTTTTGTAACGGTTTTTTAAATTGTATTTTACCATCATCAGACGTAAAATACAATTTAAAAAACCGTTACAAAACAAAATTTAAAAATCATGAAAAAGCCATTACAAAGACGACGTCAACAAAAATTATTTTGTTTTTTTACGATTTTCTTAAATAGAGGTCTCCAACTATTTGAAGCAACGTTTACCCCGTTATCCCTGTTAAGCATTACTAGGAATTGTTTAACCTCCTAAGATGTTTGCGCATAGTTAATTTCAAGCGATTCACTTATTTTCCTTTCATGATAATTGTTATTTATAGATAAAGTTTTTGGGTGCAGCCAATCGAATATGCCATGGCATTCTTTTCAATGCTCAGAAGCTCCAGAAGCATGCCAATTGTCATTCATGCTATTAATTTAGTGTTCTATGCTTTTTTGCAAAATTCTCTTTATTTTTTGCCTAATATAATATACGTGTTTGTGTGGGGAAATTTATATTGGGAAAACAAAAAAGATAATTTTATGATTTTTAAATTTTATATTTTAAGTTTAACGGTTTTTTAAATTGTATTTTAAATATATAAATGCAGTATTTGGAAATATAGGTACTGCGTCAAAAATACATTAATAGGAGATAATTGTGCACGTGCTGCTCAACATACTACAAACCATTACGCAATGATTTTAAGTATGGGAGATTTCCAAGTTGGTGTTTAACTAAATATTACAATAATTTTTTATGACATTCTTTAAATTCAATTAAAATCATTATACTTTTTTGTACGCTATAGCCCTTAATAAAAGGGTGGGGTGGGGGTGGGCAAAGCGTTAATTAACTTTTGGAAAATTTTCCCACCCACCCCAAGCTTATTTTTATTTTTATTTTTTTTAATTTTATATTTGTTTGTTTGTAATTTTACATTTGTTTGTTGGTCGTATTACAACTATATATTGTCAAAAAAAAAATAATGATAATAATAATAAACTTTCACAAATATAAAATAAGGTATCTGAAAGAAGATCAAAGGATCTTGTCGTCAGAACCTTAAATAAGTTCAAACAAGCATTAACAGTATCAAATTTTTACAAATTTCATATATATATAATCCAAATATATGTTATATAATCCAAAGAGAGATCACGCGGATCTACTCACCAATATTTTATATAAACGTATACGTTAAGTAAAGAGTATAAAATCAACAAAATAAGTAAGAATAAACTTTTTACAAATATAAATAAGAGAAGGCAAAGTTATTAATTTATATTATTAATAATAACATAATACGTCTTCTAATGAAAAAAATTAGGGTTTTTAATTTACTTTTAAAAAAACGAAAAGTAATGGGTAGTTCGAAGTCAAAATTGGGCAAAACAATTTTATTTCAAAGGTGTGGTGCCCGATAGGCAATACAAAATTGATTAAAGTTCGTTTGACAGAAAGGTTATTTTAAAAAATCAGTATTTGTCAAATTGTATTTGTTGATGGGTTTCGGAGTAAAAATATCTTTGAAGACAGATTGAGACAAGTCATTTTTCCACATGTATACAAAGCATAAAACATTATATATATTTAGCTCGTATATATTTAAAATTCTCATTCCAATAAAATAATGTTTTGCGTGAGAAAAGCGATTTGCAAAGCAAATTAAACGGGTAGCATGTTTCTGACGGCGATGAAGACGTTGCAACTTACTTTTTTCTGTACTACCCCAGGCGATATTAGCATAATTTAAATAACTGTGTATAAATGAATAATAAAGTTTGATTAAAATTTTCTTATTGAGGTAGATTCGTGCTTTATATAAAACTCCGATGTTTTTTGAAATTTTAGTGCTTATGTAGTCGATATGATGATTCCAAGTGATGTTTTCATCAAGATAAACACCTAAAAATTTTGTTACGGAATCCCTTTTTATTTCATTTTGATCAATAAAAATTTTAGGTAAGTTTAAGACACCTCCTCCCCTCATTTATTAATGTTAACTTGTTATCAACAACAGCAACAACAAAATCAGCGAAAATCAGCCTTAAAAATTTAAAGTATTATAAAACAGCTGTTAAAAAAGTGCGCATTTGACCGCAAGCCACGCTAGAAACATATAGTTTTATGCGTGTTTTGTGAAAATTATTAGTTTAGATTTATAAACTAAAATTCTTCATAAAAATACGTAACATAAAAAAATATTCTCACATAAAAATCCCCCCCCTTCTATATTAACCCAACAAACCCACCCCACCCCTGTTTATTAGATCTGGACTAAAATTCCAACACCCCACCCCTCTTCTATTCCCATCCCCTCTTGTATTAAGGACTCGATAGTAAATAAACTATTTGTGTTTTATTTATTATTCATATGATTTCTCAAATAAATTTTTCACAAAACCGCAAATGCCTTTTATCATCACTTTTTTATTTTATTGATAGTATATTATTATTTATTAAAAACCAACCTACATGGCCAACCTGGCCAAAATATTAAAAATACAAAGAATTTCGTTCTCAGAATGTATATTATAAACTTTTCTTAACTACAACTATTATGTTCTTAATTGCATCATACAATTTCTTATTTACAGTTCTCATGTTTAAAATTACTTCTTACGTTTCTTTATTCAACTTTCATGTTCTAAATTATAAGTTATAGTAAAATTATAGCGACTCAAAAAATATTAAGAATTTTATTCTGACGACGCGTTAGAAAAATACTTTCTTTTACTTTGGCCTCAACGCAGCCGTCGAACCTCGGATCCCCGCCCCACGGCTGCAGTAGGTGTGTAAATGCTTGTGCCTAATCTAACGTTAACTCAGTTTTTACGTAGAAAAGCAAAGCGTTAAACTATTGAAAATTTAAATTTTTATAGCGCTCTCCTACAGTCAATCTAGGACCATAACAACCCTAGCCTAAGCATAATTCAACATCTAGCTACCTCATATTCTTTAAAAGCAATGTCTGCTATAGAAAAAGTATGGCATAAACACGGAACATATTTTTGAATAATTTAAATGCCGGAGGGCTCACCATACGGACAGGACCGGCGCGAGTATGTGTCACGTGGGGGGAGACGGGGTACCATTACAATTTTTGCTGACTTAAAAAAACAAACAAAGGTCCTCAATTTTTAAAATTTGCCGACTGCGTATCGACTTTTGCCGACTGACAGTTGTGGCCTTGTTTGTGCTGACTAAGATTTAGTTTTTGGGGAGGAGGGTGATGACCTCCCCATGCACCCCCAAACGCCGGCCCTGCACTGTATATATATATATACAGTGCGTTATTTAACGCGTTTGTGCTTTTACTGGTTTACAGTTACATAACTGTTGGCTAAACAAATATAAATTAGCATACTTATAGAAGCTAATAAAGATTAGTTAGAAAAAGTTTATATGGTGATTTAAAATCAAAAAAATCCCAACAATTTTTATAGCAGGGCGGGTCTCAGGGTAAAAACAGGGACTCCAAATTTGCATACCTGATTATTGTATTAGTCATTTTTATATTAACAAAATTATTAGCCAATCTAAGAATAATAAATATTGTTATTTCCAACCACATGTTATAATAGTTGTTGTATATATATATATATATATATATATATATATATATATATATATATATATATATATATATATATATATATATATATATATATATATATATATATATATATATATTTATATATATATATATATATATATATATATATATATATATATATATATATATATATATATATATATATATACAAACACATTTTTTTCGTATTTATAAAAATTGATATATATTTTTTAATATATATATAATTGCACGTTGTTGCAGTTAAAAAAATTCAACTTAATAATAAATTATTGATGGCGTGCAATATAATATCTTTGGTTACCTTCGGGTACCCGTGAACTGTTAGGTTATCAAAAGTTATTTTTTTGTTTTTAATACTCTGATAATTTTTTATTATGCTAATTTTTTCATTTTTTTTATTGTGTCTTTATACTTAAAATGAAGTAGCGTTAATTTGAATCTTTTTATATTATATATATATATATATATATATATATATATATATATATATATATATATATATATATATATATATATATATATATATATATATATATATATATATATATATATATACATGCATAAATACATATATAAAATATATTTAATTATGTAAGTTTTTACATTTATCTTTTTTAGCTTCAGTGACACCTTTTTGAATGATAATGTTTCAATTTCCTTGCCTCATATCAAGCATCTTTACTTTGATCTTATTGTAAGAGAAAGTATCAATCCTTTGATTGAACGAATGACTATGTTTTACAATAGCTTAATTGGGAGCAACTGCGATGAGGTTTATAGTTTTTCAAATTCATTTATGTACATGTTTATATCTGTGTGTATATGTTAGTATATGTGCATATATATATATATATATATATATATATATATATATATATATATATATATATATATATATATATATATATATATATATATATATATATATATATATATATATATATATATATATATATATATATATATATATATATATATATATATATATATATATATATATATATATATATATATATATATATATGTATATATATATATATATATATATATATATATATATATATATATATATATATATATATATATATATATATATATATATATATATATATATATATATATATATGTATATTAATATTATATAATATTATGTAATATTGATATTTTACTTAATTACTTCTTTAGTTATTAAAATTACTTAGTATTTGTCATGTTTAATTAAAAATATGATTTAAGGTAAAAAAAAAAAGTTTATTCGCTAAATATTTTCTAATAGTATTTTGCAATCTTTTAATTTTCAATTTAAGTACAAATTCAATTAGTATCAGAGAGAATTAAATGAATATTGGATTTGTCAAATTAAAATAACATAGCAACATTGAAAATAAACAAACTTGTAGATGTTTTTGAATTTTGCTAGCAAAAAATTTTTAAAACCCAGAATCTGACTGGTAGCATTGTCAACGTGCATCATTCTGAAAGAACAAGGTCAAAATTTAGCGGCTGTGACGTAAAAGTATTTCGAACCAGCAGAACAAATCCTAAGCTTAGTACAAAAAGTTAAAACATTCAACTAATCATTTTTTGATCTTAATTTTTTTTGAATCAATTCAAGGACGAGTATTTCTTTGCTGTAAAGCAAGTGATGAAAAAAAAAAAGGATTTGTATAGTTTTTTTAAACTTGTGTTTTTAACTGAACTTTAATGTTTATTAACTTTTATGCTACTTTTTTTAGTGGTTATTTAGAATTTTTTCTTTCTTGTGGTTATGAAATTTTTTCTTTCTTGTGGTTATGTCAATTTTTTCTTTCTTGTGGTTATGTCAATTTTTTCTTTCTTGTCGTTATGTAAGTTTTTTTCTTTTTAGTCGTTATGTACATTTTTTCTTTTTTGTGGTTATGTAATTAATTAAATTTATGTAATTGCTTAATTATATTTATATTTTAATTTATTATAGTTTAAGTAACCAAATTTTCTTTTTAAAAATAAGGAAATTTAATTTATTTTCTGGATTTTATTTTCTTAAAAAGTAACAGACTAGAGTATTAATTTTCTGTATTCAATAATTTTCATAATACTAAATACAAAAAAAAATAAAATTTGATTGATAAATACATTTTACTTATGATTAAATAAGTTTAATCAATAAAAGAATAAAAGTATAAAACGGAAAATAGTTTTTATTGCGCCATTTCTGTTTTGCCTATTTGTTCAAATTGTATTTTTTTGTTCAGACTTGGTGTTTGTTTCGGAGTTTTTTAAAATTGATTATTTTTTTATTATTTTAATATTCTTAGATAATGACTGAAGTTGGATGCCAGTGTCCAAAAATGATTTTAAATGAAGAAGTTCGATTTGCTTATTCTGATGATTGTTATGGTGAAGTTCAAAACAGAGCTATCAAGTGCAAATTGCCTTGCTTAGATTATGATGGAACAAACAATTATATTTGTGTCTTTGGTGCTGCTCTTGAAACTGGTTCGTGGTACGTAGAAGAAGTAAGCGAAACTACTAGATCGGAAAATCCTGATCGCTATAGCAACCGTGCTTATTGTAATCCTCCTAATCAAAATGATTGGGATCGTTGTATGAATGTTCAAAAGCTAAACGAAAACCTGCTGGTACTTAGTGAAAAATCAGCCGATAAACAGAGAAAGATTAATTTGAAATCAAAAAAGATACCTCCAAAATCACGCATTGACCAAAATCTTTTGAAATCTCTGGTCGGTCGTAAATAAATTGTTTGTAATAGTTTTCAAAATATGTAATTAAAAAAAGATTGTGTTTTTTTTATGATCAGGTCTACACCGCTTCTCAACTCGAGGATAATTTTATTTTATGGGTACGAAGGTCTGATCACAAAGCGGAAAAGCATTTAACTAGGAAGAATTATTGGAGCGGTTAATAAACGGAGTCTAAACGGAAGGATTAGAATGTCATTTATTCCTCTGTTTTATAACCGGCGTTTAGATTTTTGTTCATAACGGTCGTTAAAATTCTCCGTTAGTTTAACGGAAAGATGTTAATACGGCTGCAAAATTGTTTTTAAAAGTTAATAAAATTAGGACTCGTGGTGCCACTGCTGCTTTGCTGCGTTCAAATTTTTTCTATTTCAGAACATCTTGATACTGTTCGGAAAAATATTAGGTTGTTGAAAAATAATAATTGAAAAGAGAAAAACTTTTTTTTTTTAAAAAAAGTATAGATTTTATTGTAACATGACAAAGGATGGAGGAAAATGGGATGGGATAAGAGTAATGAGTTGATATTTTCACCTCGTGATAAAGGAGATCAAAGAGATAAAGGAGAGGTGACCTAAAATATAGTTTTTTGCTTGACGTAATTTGCAAATGACTCAAAGTTTTGAAATTTTTTTTTTTGATTTTAAAAATAAATGTCATAAAGCAAGATTAAACGGCAAACGCCATACGCATTTTAATGTTCTTTTAGGTAACGTTTACCGTTTAATCTTGTTTTATGACATTTTTATTAAAGAAAAAAAGTTCTGAAAGAAAAATATTTTTTTAAATATTGTATTATTTTCAATGTACGTCACACAAAAAAAAATACATTTTAAATTCCCCCTGCTCCCTTTGTCACGAGGTGTTACGAAATATCAAACCCCTACCACTTATCCCCACTTCCTCTTCTCCTTCATTCATTGTCATGTTACAAAAATATTTATACTTTTTTTTCTTTTTTAATAAAAAAGAACTGTTTTCCTTTTTTCAATCAATATTTTCTACAAATTAAGATTTTTCCAAATAATAAAATATGTACTGTACCAAAAATGTACACTATTGTACTATTGAACTAGGTAAAATGCAATCCGCCAACTGAAAACTGCAAATCTGTAAAATGCAGACTTTTACAGATTTGCAGTTTATATATATATATATATATATATATATATATATATATATATATATATATATATATATATATATATATATATATATATATATATATATATATACATTAGGGATATGACAATTTTGCAACCGTATATCCCCATACTAAATTTAGTGGCGTTTTTGTTCAAAAATCAAAAAAATAACAAGCATTTTTACTATATGTCAAAAATGTTCACCCCCCAATTAAAAAATATTTATAAAAAAATTTAAAAAATGTAGTTTTGCAACACATCTTCCACTACTTTACAGAAACCAATAAACATGTATAATTAAAATTTGTCTACTGTGTATTTGACAATAAGTATTTAATATTTAGTTTTTCTATGCTATGGCATAATGGCATTAATTCTTGCATCACTTTCACAGCACGTTCTGCACAAGGATTTCTAATATTACAAAATAATAACTTCAAGTTCTCGTAATCTTGCTGCAACCTTGTCACAAAAGGGTAATGGAGATATGGTGACATTGTTAATCCTTCAAAATGATCAATCATGACATGTTTTAAAAGAGTATCTAGAATATAGTGTTGGCATCCAATAAAAACAGGCTTTTCTAGTCCAATGATTTTAAAATGTTTCTGTAACCGTGTAACTACACCATTTCTTAATCCTGCATTTGTAGATGTTGTGTCAGATACGATCATTTTTATGGCTGGCTACAGCTCATATTCATCTAGCACATGCTTTATCCCATTATATATTGTTTCACTTTTTCCATTCATCAGCTTCAGAACAGCAAGTCGAACCTCTCTATTTTCATTTTTCAAAACAACTACTTGATATTCCATTTTCTTTATGAGTTTTCCAACAAAGTGCAAAGAACACATTTTTGATTTTTTAGGTTTTCCATATAATTTACTTTCAACTTTTCCCCTTCTTTCATAACACCTTTGTAGATATATATATAAATAGAAATACCACTTTCTGAGAGAGTTTTACATACTTTATATGCTTTTTTGGTAGTAATCTTTGCAGAAATCACTAAATTTACTGCTGAATTTGTTTTTTGTTTTTTAAATAATGATGACGGACCTTCAGGATCTCCTTCACTAGCTTATTCAACAAATTCTTGTCCTTGACTGATGGACATTTGTTTCTTTATTATCACTAATATTCTTGGATGAATACCTTCAGCATCTTTAATTGTGGTACAATATCCAGCTCTTCCTTTTATTGAATTTTGAAGAAAATAAAATTCTTTATCTTCCTGACACAACCATTCATCTTTCTCATTGGTTATGTCAAACAATCGTGTAAAATTTTGAGTTCCGGGTTTTCGACTATCTTTGTTAAGTTTTTTCAATACATTTTCTATTTTTCTGCTGCCAATTTCCCTTGTTGAATAAGAATATTTAGCTTTCTCCATAGCAAATTTAGTTTCTTTAGCCACAATTGAAATTCTCTCCTTTCTACTTTTCACATTTGATGACAAACTTTTAAATCGATCAAAACGCTGTTCTGTTGGCAACTTATTCATTTCACTAATACTTTTAACAATAGTAGTACATCTTCTGGAAGTTTTAGCTTTTTCAAAACCTTACTAAATTTGATTCCCAAACTTTCTTATTCTTGTTTGAAGCAACACTATTTTTGGACATAATGTTCAAAACACAAGATAACAGTTTGACTAACTTAAAGAAGACAATACCGGTTACATACAAAAAACCAATTATAAAATGCTGAAGCACTTCCACACGGTCCAACAGGGTTGAAATCGAAAATTGCAGTTATTAAAAATTGCAGTTATCTCGTAAAGAAGTCTGTAGAATTTATGATATTTGTAATCACAGTCGTATGTTGAGTAAGATTGTGTTGCGTCTCTATTAAGTAATTTATAACTCACTAAAAAGAAAGGAAAAATTGTTTTCAGCTTGAGGGGTGATCTTTTTTGATAATTTACATAAAAAAAATAGACTTTATGTTTAAAAAAATATAATTTCTTCACTCATGGTTACATGGGGAACAAAAAATCTTTTTAGTCATATCCCTAATATATATATATATATACATATATATATATATATATATATATATATATATATATATATATATATATATATATATATATATATATATATATATATATATATATATATATATATATATATATATATATATATATATATATATATATATATATATATATATATATATATATATATATATATATATATATATATATATATATATATATATATATATATATATATATATATATATATATATATATATATATATATATATATATATATATATATATATATATATATATATATATATATATATATATATATATATATATATATATATATATATATTAGGGGTATGACTAGAAAAAAAAATTTTAGAATTTTTTATTCCCCATGTAACCATGAGTAAAGAAATTATATTTATAAACATAAAATCTACTTTTTTTACGTAAATTATCAAAAAAGATCACCCCTCAAGCGATATATATATATATATATATATATATATATATATATATGAAAAATTTATAATTTATTTATTTATAAATTTCAAGACTAAGTTAGCTCTTATTACTTATATAAAGTTAAAAAGTTATACCGCAATTTTAATTTATGTAAGTTTTAAAACTTAAATAAATTGAAATTATGTTAACTAAATCAAAAAAAATATTAGACAAGATCTAATAGTTTAATATACGTTTACTTAGACTAAATCTAAACGCTTTATATACGTTAATTAGGCTAGATTTAAACGTAAATTAAATAAAATCTAAACGCTTTATATACGTATAATAATCCTATAATAAACGCCTAACATACGTTTGAATATAGACATTTTATGGACATTTGTTCTAAACGTTAATCTGGATTTCATTCTAAACGGATAATCGACCAAATCTAACTGTTTTGTCAAAACGTTGTTTTGGCGTTTAATAGACATTTGTGTGTTTACTGGGCGTAGATTTTAAATCTATAAATATTTACGTTTAATTAAGGGCGATTAAAGGTTTACAAAATTGACTAATGTATTTCGATATTCTAAACGTTAGATCGACGTTTAGTAAACGTATATTTAAAAAAGTTTGAAATATACATTTCAAATTAAGCGTCAATTTTTAGTCAATAATAGGTCGCTAAATGTTTTATCCATTTTTCGACCGATTTCGATTGAATATTGACCAATTCTTAACCATTCTGTGTTTACTGGGATATATGGATATATACACATATATACATAAACACACAAACATATACAAACATACATACATACATATATGTTAGAAATTAAGGAGATGCAATTTCATTTGCCGTTTAAAAGAGAAAGTGCTTTTCAAATTTATAAAAAATTTTATACAGCTATTTTTCATTAATTCCATAATGATTAAATTTTGACTAATAATTGAGAATTCTGACACATGTGATTTTACTCTGCTCAATTGATAGTTGTGGTTGGTATTTAACTGAAGATATTTGTGAAAAAGCCGATGCAAAAATATCAGAAAATGTTTTTGGCAACAAGTTACTTTTATATTTATACATAAATATTAATATTTGAAGCGAATTAAGTTTTGATATATCTTGGACATTCATTTATTTCAATACTGGAAAAGGGTTTGCTAATCTCTTTAAAAAATTAATTACTTTACATGAGTGGTTTTGTAAGCTCTGTAATCTTATCAATTTAGTTTTGTGTGTTAGCCCGAATAATATTAGCGTAGGAGAGATTACAATAAAAAAGACTGAAGTAAAGCATTTTGCGCAATTTATAAATAAGTAAGGTCCTAAATTTACATAATACACTTATAACAGAAGATACTTTTGTTTCAATGAGACTATAATGTTTTATTCATGATAGGTTCTCATCAAATATTAGACCCAAAAACTTTGTATGA